AACTTTCCATCATTTGCAATGGGACCAAAGATTTATTATTTTTTGGCTAGAAAATATGATGGAATAAAGCAAAATGACTCACTAAACTGTCTGCGCTTCTTTGTTATAAAGTAGCAGCCAGTGAAGTACATTCTTTTTTAAAAAGTCAACTACCATGTGTTCAACAGTTAATGCATAACTCCTTATCTAGAAGAGCATAAATACAAGCTGAAACAACCAAGGGTGAATTACGTACTAAGAGCCCGTTTGGTAACACTGTTATTCAGCTTACCAGGCTTATCAGCCAACCTTTTCACCATACACGTAGCTTTTGATTGCACGCGCTGAAATGTGCAATAATAAGAAAAGGTAAGGTTGGAGTTACTTTTTTGGTTGTTTCGGGTGAAGTTATTGTAGAGGACCATTTTAACTATTTTTACAGATAATTTTTTCTTTATTTTATTAATAAAATATATTTTAAATTTAATTTTTTCATACATCAATAGAATCGGTCAATACAACCACTAAAGCCCGAACTTAATAAATTTCAGCAAAATCAGCCGATTTCAGCGTTACCAAACGGGCTCTAAATTAAATTACTAAAATTTAAAATTGTTGTAATGCAAAAACTACGTTACAACCAATTGTACATTGACCTTTATGTTAAAAACTACAACCAATTGTACATTGACCTCTAAAATTGTTGTACATTGACAACCAAGATTTTAATCATATGTTAAAAGTCAAATGAACAGAATTTAGGGAGTGTTTGCAACTGCTTCTGCTTAAAAAAAGCACTTTTGGAGATGTAAGGAAAAAGTGATTAGTAGTAAAAGTTGATAGTGTTTGAGAAAAAAGTGATTTTGAAAAGTAAAAGTTGGTAGTGTTTGGTAAAATAAGTACTTTTTGTGTAATAGAAAAAGGAAAAGCACTTTTCACACGCAAGCCGAGAAAAAGTAAAAATTGGTAGTGTTTGGTAAATAAGTGCTTTTTAAAGCCAAAAGCTGAGAAGTGCTTTTTTTTAAGCAATTGCAAACACTCCCTTAAACTGTCCCGGAGTAAAATTCATGGATTAGAGCACTCTTTCCTGAAACTTCAAATCCAAAGGAGAACCCATCAATCAAAAAAGGATGGCATCAACATGGCATAATGGAGACAAAAAAGGATGAACCTTAGGAAAGATATAATAACCAGGCCGAAGAATAAAACACAAGTCTGCCAATGCCGCATGATATCAAGTAGTACATGGGAAAAAAGAACACAAAGAATTATCAGCAAACAATGACTTCCTTTGGACTGGCTTCTGATGGATGCAGCATATTACGGTGACAATCAATATCCAAAGCATCCTAAACAAAGATAAATTTCTCATTTTCTATGCAAATCCTTAAATCATAAATCTCACATACTACCAATCTTTTCAAAGTGATCCCACATATGATTTTTAGCTTTTCTTCCTAAAAGTCTTCTCAAATCATTGTAGTCTGTTTTTATAATTTTTTCTGGGTACTTGTTTATATTTTTTCCTTTGAATTGTTTAGAAAAGAGAAAACATAGGGGAAATTCCCAGATTTTCTTCTCTTTAGCTTCCCTCATGTCTCACACAACAATGTCATCCTCGGGTAAGAAAAATTGGGAGCATGAGCCCTCTGTTAACTGCACTTGTGGACAGAGAGCGCATTTGTGTACTGCACGGGAGAGCGGACGCCAATTTTATGGATGTCAAAACTGGAAGGTGATATAGTTAAACTAATTTTTGTAATCTCATTATTTAAATGTTTGATGTTTTGTGGTTGTGATTATGCATTTTTGGGGTTGGGTTGCGGATACATTCTTTGGAAGGAAGACCTTGTATGCCCAAGAAATGACAGAGAAATTCAGCTTCTCACACAAGGTTTTTCTTCACAAATAAAAGCCGTCACACTTGAGGAAGGCATGTATAAGATTTAGGCTAAAGTGTGGTATTATTTAGCAGCCAGTAGCATTCTGATATAATGTACTCCCTCCGGTTTTATTTAATCTTCACACTTTGACTTCACACAAAATAAGGAAAGAAATTTGATTTTACTGTAGAGTACAATGTTGAGGCACTGTTTGGCACTGTAGAGACACTGTTTGGCACTGTTAAGACACTGTTTGACGCTGTTTGACACTCTTTTGATGTAGATTTCTTTGCCAAAAAAGGAAATAAGGAAGTGTGAAGTTTATTTTAGACCGTCCCAAAAAGGAAAGTGTGAAGTTTATTAAAAACCGGAGGGAGTATGATGTTTGGTGACTTTGGTTAAATTGGTCTGTGAATTTATTCTAATGTAGTTGGTATTGTTATGCACTTTTACTTTCTTTTTTCTAAATGCTCAAATTCACCCACATATGTATAAAACATCCTTGTTTATTTCTAAATTGTCTGTTAATAACTAGTCATGACTCATGAATATGCAGCAGCCCTCTTGGCCCTCTTATTTGAAGAGTGTGTTCATATAATTTTATGAAATGAGGAATTTGAGAATGAAGCAAATCATTGCTCTTTGTGAGGTGGTCATGGGCTCATTAACTTTTAACTCAGTTAAGCCCTTAAAGCTTCTGGATCATACCTACTAATGAGTGATGAGAATCAAACTGATGCATAAGAAATTGCTATAAATCTTTAATGTATATTTTCAGGTGTGACCTATTGCTTATCTACAAACCTTACCACTGAACTTAGTGGTGCTTTTATGATGAATTCAGTTATGTTTGATCTCCAGGAGAGTGACAAAATAATAGGCAACAAAAGTATTCCTAATAGGCAGTAACTGACAGAATAATATAATCATATATTCACATAATCTGTTTTCATTGCACATACATTAAGCTAGGCAACAAAACTATTCCTACTACACAACCATTAGCTAACCCAATTAACAAAATTATTCCAAGTACACACCAAAAACCTGCATAACAAAGTACGACCATTAATGCAAGTGGATATTGAAGTAAACTTAAAATTACAGAACATCCATCATAAATTCAAAAAAGAAATAACACAATGAGTCACAATAATTCACAATAACGTTAAGGGCTAACGTGAAGGGAGGTAGTACACCGTTACACGTCACATTAATGTCAAGGTAGATATTAAACCATCAATTCAGCAAAACATTACATAAATATACATTACTCCAAAATGAAAAACAAAGCAACATTCCCATGCTTGCTCATTACTGTCTTCACTTCATTTTCACGTCTCCCATCAGTACTACACTGCAACAGACCCGCCACCTCTTCCCCGGATTCTTCCTCTTTCACTTGTGCCTCCTCTCCCGGTACTTCTACCTCTTCCACCCCCTCTTCCATTATTGCCTCCTCTCCCAGTACTTCTACCTCTTGCACATTCAGTCCTTTGACCTCCATGATTTGAACAATAAGATTTATTATGTCCCTTTTGCTTACAGTTTGAGCATGTCATCACACGCCCTCTTCTAGATATTTTGCAGCTGGAGGTTCACTTTCTTCTCAGATTCTTTTCTTCTTAGGCCTACCTATCATTTTCTTCGGAGGAGGAGGGTGTATCTTTTCTCCACCTACCTGTCATTCTGAGGAATATAACATTTTTAAATCAAACTAACAACACATATAATGATAAACTGAGAATACAAAACACAAAGAGTAAAATGAGCATAATGAAATGAAGTACTTGTAATGTTTCAGTGAAGATTGTCTTTGGTATTAAATGTCCAATTACAGTTTTTTCTTTATTCATTAAAGACAACCCGATAACAAAGGAATCTACAAGTTAGCAAGTAAAAGTTGAAGTGAACCAATAACCAAATCAACAAATAAAGAGAAAATGACTTTAAATAATACAAACTATCTTTCGAGAACCAAGAATAATACGTACTTTAAAAATAAGTTTTAATAATACCAACTATTTGAATATAGACCACAAATGATATAGGGCATCTTTTTACTAAAAATTCAACCATCTAACTCGTCAAAAATTTATATAAAAATATCTAATTAGTGAATGTATTTCCAAATATCATTTATTTGATGGATTGTCATTAGCTTTTGATGTCTTAAATGATCAATTTTTTTGTCAAAAAATGACTCCATATTATTTTTGTTTTACATTCAAATAGTTGGTATTATTAAAAGTCATTTCCGAAGTTTGTATTATTATTGGTTCAAGGATGATAGTTGGTATTATTTAAAGTAATTTTTCCATAAATAAATAATCTGTCAAGTTTGAAAAAAAATGTCATGTTTAAAGCCTAGTAATGTCAAATTTGCAAAAATTTACTCCTATTCAGGGAATAAAAAATATGATAGTCCTATTTTGGAATTTCGAAACGGTTTTACTCCGATTTAGGGAATTCTCTCTTTTTCTTATTATTACACAATTCAACGTGCGAAATCAAATATTACGTGTTTGTTGAAAAAGCTAGCAGATAAATTTGATAAGCTGAAAAAAGGGGATCGTCAAACGGACTCCTAGTGTTCTACACTTATGCTTGTAGAGTTGTAGATCTCTAGTGTTCTACAAGCATTATATTCATTTGTACCCCATTGGATGTTTTTAGAATCAAAACTCTTCATTAGTAGATCTAAGACTAAAATTAAGATTTCATAGCTAAAATACTACGTAGTTTTTATTATCTTTTAATTCTTTTTTCATAACTAGGTCTGAAGTAACTATAAAAAAAATAAACTAAATTTATTATTCATCAGATTATTTGACTTTTTAAATCAAAACTTTTCACAAAAAATAAATAAAAAATTAATGTATTCTAATAAAAGTAAAATTTTAATTGAGAAACTTTTCTAGAATGAATATATTGACAAAGTGACTTCACTTCACCTAAGTACATCTATTCTCATGGACCTAAGTACATCCAAAGACCATAGATCATTAGGAATTTAGGTCCCAAAAAGAAATGACAAAATTTTAACTTAAAATTACTAATTAAACTGCAGGAATTGGAAAAAAACACGCACTTGGAACAAAAAGAACACTAAATTTGCACAAATGAAACATGCAAGCCTTTAAACCAGGCTTGGGCCTAATTTAAAAAGGTGCACACATTGAGCTAATTTGAACATTATCATCCATATCAAAGTCACACTCACATAGCTTGTTGCCTTGTTTGCCCCAGGACATGCTAAAACAATTGGTCAAAGTTTAATCAATGTGATATTACAACTGGTCCCCTACTCCCCTATAAACAAGAAATGATTAGAATAATAAGTTTTGATTAGATACACAATTGGTCCCATATTAATTTTGGGCATAACATAGCTATATATCAACTGTTTAAACAGGCGAAGGCCATGATAGTTGACGGCTCTCAACAATGCCACCATATTCACCACCACTAGTAACTTCTTGCTCCTCACTTTTTTCATGCCTCACACTTCTAATGGCCAAATCGTTAAAACTTGTTTCGGTTCTCCAGGGTGGAGGAGTCACACAATCAGAATTCTTCCTTGATCCTCCTCTCTGGGAAAGATCCTTGCTAGGCGTGGCAAGGGACGATGAAGGACCAACCCTTAACGCTTGAAGTGTGGCAAATGACTCCCTCATTGCAGACATGGCTTCAAAGAACCTGGTGCATGAAGCCAGGGCGACAGGGATAGGGCGAAGCATTTCCTACATTTATTTGAATAAAAACAAATAACAATAATAAATGTCCATTATTGAACCATCCAATTGTACAATCACAACATAAACGGTTTGGACCCTTAAAGATGTTCCCAGATATCAGATATGACAAGTTCACCCTCACCCCCACCCCCCAGACCACTGACCCCAAAAAGCCCCACAACCTAAACCCAAGGTAAAAACAGGAAGCAAAAAAAAGGCACATTTAAAAGCAAAATATAGACAAAGAGTACAACACTGAGAAAGTAGAATCGTCAGTCTTTTTATGTGGGGGATGGTATAATATCATATATGAATACTGACATTTTTATGAAGCCCTATTAGACTCCACTAGAGGCATATGGACTTATGTGGTTATGCTCAGGCCACATAAACCCATATTAATGCGTTTTCATAGTAGTCTTACATGGCTCCATAAAATTCTGATATAACACTCCAACTACTATAGTTGTGAAAGCAAAAGCACAATAATAATTTGACATACTGCCCATATTGTTGGTGGGTCTCTAAAATTTTGGCTCCAATGAAAGTCAGCCGCAGATGCCGTTAATGCACTGTAGTCGCTAGCAGCCCTCATCAGTAACTCAGAAAATTGTTTCTGCACAGATTCGCCCAGGTGTCAAAACAGCATCATGAAACAATGTATTTCCTTGAAGTTTTTAAACTATATTTTATGAAACAGGTGTCAGGTATCAAAACAGCATCATGAAAGAATTCAATTCATTGGTGTTTTTATACTCTGTTTATGTGTATTTGTAAGTTCATTTTTATGTTGAGAGAATAGGAGAGTAACTGATTAAGAAGTATTGGGGTAGGTGTTCCTGATTCTGGAGGCCCTAAGGACCAAGTAATGGTTAGTGAAAACCATATGAATATTAATATAAATTGAAATACTAACTAAAAACCTGATTTCCCATATCAGACAAAAAAAAGTATAAACAAAATTTATCAGTCCTTCCACAAAGAAATTTGGTTGGATTAGAAACAAGAGATTCGTGATACAGATACAGAACAGGATGAGCAAGAGATACATGTCATTACTATTGTTGTTGTTGTTATTGCTAGTACTATTACTACTAGTAATCTAGTATTATTATTAAAGGATGACTCTTATAAGAAGTATGGAGTATAAGTTATGGAGTTACCGAGTTACTTGACTAAAGAGTGATATTTTTTCCAGATTCTTTGTGCTAGTACTATTGAAGTCAAAATGTGAAATATCAATGCAAGATTGAGAGATAATAAGCTTATAATTCAATTTACCAAAAATGTACCTGATATTCTGCTTCCACTGGAATGCAATCTAATGAATATGGTTGTTGAAGCCGAGCAATAATGCGGTCCTACGTCCATAAAATATGATTTGAGCAGAGGATATAGCACCCCATGAAAAAAAGATCAATACACTTGCACAATCAGGTAGGGGATGAAAAATACGACTTCACACTTTGACTATAATCCTTCATATAAAGAATTCGCTCTCAAAGGTCATCAAGAAAGTAGAACAAAGCCATATCTGGTAACAGATCAAAAGATTTAAACGATCAACATTAATATACTTATGTTTTGAAAGTGGTGGCTTTGAAAAACAGTAATTGAAGTCTCGATCTGGTAATAACACCAAATGATATAAATGATCCCCGTTAATACACTTATATTTTGAAACTCATTGCAATGAAGATTAGTAATTGAAATCTTTGAACATCTTAGAGGATAAAGGTTAGAACTTCACAACAATCATACAATAGAATAAATTATTCAAATGCTCAGAATTATGTGTCCACAGATCTGTCATTAGGATCCCATTCATACTACCCAATACTAAATACCGCAGAGCCACTGCTGTTTGATTCGCTGTCTGGGCCAGACTTCGGATCTTATTTGGATGTTTTGGCTGGTAGCTCAGAGAACATGAGAGATCAAACGGTAACTCTTGCTGATGAACGAATCTGTGAACTCGTTTAAAGTCTTCCAAAAGGAGCTGATTAATGGATGAGGGCTTGTAGGAATTCACAGAACAAAGATTTTAAACAACTTCCTATCTTCCCGGTATCAATCAGATGAAGAAATACAGATATTAGCAAAGCTCGTTTGCTCTGGTTAGTAATTTCTCCCATGGTCATCCCCCTCTGTATGATATTAAGGCTGCCTTGAATACTTGATTTACTTTGTGTTCATGGGAAAATTCACTATTGTTTTCTTGATAAAGGATTATAGTGTATTTTTTAGACCAGTGTGGCTAATGAAACAATTTCCTACGAGTGATGACATATACATTTGATTTTGATGTAAATTGTGAGCCCTCTATTTTACCAATGTGGGTTTCACTGCATCTTTTTCCATTGATTCATTCAGATCGAGCAATGTTATACTCTATTTAATTGGATTTCCTCTGAAAACTGATGATCATACAGCCTCCCAAACTAGACCCAGCATGGCTAGAATTTGTGTTGAGATTGATGTATTGAAACCCGAAGTTCATGATGTGAGAGTAGAAGATGACAACTATCCCATCTGCCAATAAATTGTATATGTGGAGGATCCTAGCCATGGTCCATGGCGTTGCACTCCATTCTTTTGTTATCATATGCATCATAAGAAGATGGAATGTTACTGGTGTAAAGGATAATAATCTAAAATTGGCTTCAAAATACAAAGTAGGAGGTGCTAGTTCGAAGAATAAGATGATGGGGGTGAAGGGCAAAGAATATGGATGGAGAAGAATAAGAAGGCATGATTAATTTGACATTCCAAAAGATGGGAAATCTAGAGGTGGTAGTATTATTGTAATAATCTTGTAATCCTGACCCCCAGCAACACCTACTTTGAAGCTAAATGATGATGATGCTAGCTAATATGGTCTGCAATTTTCAGATGCTATTGAAAAATATTAATTTTGACTCCCTATCCACCTCCACGATTTACGGTCTCTTAAATCTATTGCAAAGCTACTGGGGAAACCCATCAGAATAGATACCCCCACTGCAAACTTCTCCAGGCCTTCCACAGCAAGATTATGCACAGAAATGGATATTTCAGTTAATCTGCCGCCAAAAATCTGGATTGCAAATGGTTCAGATGGTTTTTTTCACACTATTGTGTATGAAAAATTACCCATTTTTGTCACACGTGCTCTTGATTTGGGCACACTGGCTCCATATGTCCCAGGGGAACAAATAAGCTGGTGCAGAACCCAAAACAGGTTTTGGATGCTACGAAGAGTGCCCCTGTTTTGGGTGAAGTACCTGCCCAGGCCCCTTCTTTGATGACTAATCATAGCCAGGTTATGAATGCTGCTGTGGCTGATGTTATTGATGTCCCTTGTGCTACTGATGCTATTGATGTCCCTTGTGCTAGTGATAATGCTGTTAATGATAAAACTGGTTTTGATGTTCCTTATGTTGATGCCAGTGTCCTAGAATTTCTTGATGTCCCTGATGCCTCTGCTAAGGATCCCCTTGCAGCCTCTGTTACAGAAGTTGATGCTCAAAGTGCCCCTGTAATAGAGCCTGGTGCTGCAGCCTCAGTTTGTACTGTATTTGATGTTGATGCCTCTGTTCTTGATGCTATTGAACCCCAGGCAGCCCCTAAATCTGTTAACACTCACCTTGCTGTTAATGAAGGCCAGGCAGCCCCTTAATCTGTTATTTCAGCCTCGGTTAGTACTGTTAACACTGTCAGTTCTGCCCAGGCAGCACCTGTTGTTGCTATTGCCTATGATGTGGCTATTTTACAAACTGAAAAAACACCTTCTGCTCCTATTAAGCCAGCTTCTACTCCTACTATTGTGGCCCCTAAAGTGACACAGATTACAAGTGAAACCATTAAGCCAGGTTCCATTACGGTGGTTTCAGACCACAGAGAAGCTCCTACTGCAGTGTTGTCTTTCAATAATGCCCACCGGCCCTTGGATGTTGATAAAGATGAACCCTCGGTGGCTACCCGTTCCGTGGCGGTAACCGTGGGTGTTCATCCATTGGTTACACGTAATGATGATGCCAATGATTGCCTTGAGGACCGAACAGGAAATGATGAGACCCTCTCTGATCCACAACTTGAGAATACAGTTACTACGCTTGCCACACTACTGTCCGGTGATGAAACTCTTTCTGAGGAGAGTCAATTACTAACCTCTTCAGTTTCAGGTCATCCAGACAAGCACCCAGTGGAAGAGGAACTCATTGGCAGATTTACTCAAGTAAAAAGTAGAAAAAGCAGAAACGCAAACTCACTGAACACATCAAATGAAGGATTGCTACAAAAGGATACACAATTATACTATGAGGTGGGATACACTTCTCACTCCATGGTTACAAGAAGTCAATCCAAGAGACCCCAAGATGAAACTGACTACTTATATCCTGTCGACGGGAGGCTCGAATCGCCACACAAACTGGCTGCGGCTCTAATGAATTACAAATCATCCCGCCCGCAAGCCAAAACATATCAACCGTATCTGAGGAACGCGATAAGGTTCCAAAACAAATTTAACAGGAGTATCTCAGCCTCACTTGGAATTCCAACTAGGAATTTTAATTGCTAATGTATCTCTTCTTTCTGTTTTTCCATTTAGAATATGTATCTTTAATTTTCTTGTAACTTTCAATTCCTTGTACTTTTAAATGATTTTTAATAAAATTGGGAAGTGTTCCCCGGCACTTCCTCCACCATGTGTGGTCTGCTCCGGGGAAAAAAAGTCCCCTGGGCAGATGTAACATAAATGGTGTAAAGAATAACTTCCCTGTCTATCAAAATCAAGAGCCAAGTGTGATTAAGGCAGGTGTAAGTGTGTAACTTCCTTGGGAATACATTTCATGAACTTTCACTTGGTTCCTTAGTATTAAAAATTGAAAATTCCAGGCAGCCCAGTTGAAAATTTTATGCAAGGGGACCTTAAACTGCAGTGGTCAATTGGTAGTAAGAATTCAATAGTTTGAGATTCTCCATTTCATGTCCTTCGCTCTCGATACCTGACTTTGATTAAGCCATTCTGATGTACTTTACGGGGCAGGTTTTGGTCTAGTCCCCCACCCTTTGGCTTTGATTGTCGAGGGAAAATAAACTCTTATTCTTCTTTTCCCCTCGATACATATGTTTATATATGTCTTCAAGCGTAGGGTCCAGGTACTGGAATATAAGCTCCATCTCTCACAGCCAATTCTCTAATGTCTTGTCCTTATTCTATAGTAATAAACAAGGTTCGAAATTGAATATTGCTTACTTCAGGCGTTTTGGCGTACTGGCAGAGAAGAGATAAGAGAGACGGTGAGGAGACGTGTGCATCGCAGCTAAGTAGTTAAATTGCTACTCGGTGGCAATTCAGTCAAGGGCCGAGTAGCGAGTAGGACCAATTATTAGGGATTACTCGGCCCTATATTAATTTAACTTAAAAACATAAATATTCTTCCCAACAATCATAAATATTCTAACTTCCAAGAAAATCAGTCACCTAATACTCCCATTTAAGGGGAAATAATACGGTTGGTGAATAATGTAGAAAAAGTAGGAGAGAAGGTGGAAAAGTATGAAAGAGAAGATAAAAAGTAGAAAAAGTAACAATAATTGAGTATTTTTAAAAGATAAACTTACCAAAAAGAAAAAGTGTAGCAAACTTTTAAATACATCCAAAAAGAAAAGTGTAGCAAACTTTAAAATACGGAAGGAGTAATACTTAATTGGTTCAAGGTCGTCGTTTTCTTCTTCATCCTGCATGTCCGCACTAGAGTAATCTTATTTTCCAATTTTCAGAAGGCCTACTAAATATTCACAAAGTCCAAAATATCCCAATTTACTTTAAATTTTTCAGACTTAACCCCAAAAAAGTCATTTTTCTGGCTGCTGAGTCACTTGGTGAGCCAATCTTGTCACCAAGTAGAGAAAACCACCGAGTACACAGCGAGTTACTAGGGAAAATGGAACATTACGATTCAAACAATTATAGTAGATTCATCTATGACATTATCCCTTTGGGATTTGAATAACATTCCGGGCCTGTTGATTAATAGAGATATTTTCCAGTTTTCTATTTCTGTTTTTCGTTCTCCAATTTTCTGTTCTCATTTTTCAGTTTTCTATCTGCAATTTTTTTGTTTCATTTTTTAGGTTTCCATTTTCAAATCTAAAAACATGTCCATGCATTTTTTTCACTCGGTTTTGAAACCGACCAAAAGACCGAAAGTACGGTCTTAGTCCGGAACCGAATCTAATACAACCCAAGTAGGGCACTGGGTCCCACGTATAGGAAAGTGGGGACCGAAACCGGCCGGTCCCGGTCAATCTCAACAGTTAGTTTGATGAATTCTTTTCCCATTTCCCTATTGGTTGACAACTTAGCAGCTCTTTTAAAACTCTTCACTTTAAAAGTGATTTCAAAAAACTGAGACTGAACCGGCAGGTCATTGACCGGCCCGGACAGGGACCGCCAAGTCGTTTAGGGACTGGCCCGGGACCACCCGGTTGTCGATCGGACTAAACAACGACCGTTGGGTCATTTGCCAGACAGGATGAGGACCGTCATGTCGTTGATCGCCGGGTCATTGTTCGGACCGGACAGGGATTGCCGAGTTGTTGACTACACCGGATCAGACCGGGATTTCCCGGTCGTCGATCGGACCGAACAAGTATCGCTTGGTTGTGGATCGGACCGGATAGGGACCGTCGGGTCATCGACCGGACCAGACAGGGACCGTCGGGTCATCGACCGGACCGGAACCGTCAGGTTGTCGACTGGACTGGTCCGGGATCGCTCGTTCATCGACCGAACTGGACATGGATCGTTGGGCCAATGACCGGACCGGACCAGAACTGACACCGGAGCGGGAACGGATCCAACACTAGGCATAAGTATGCAAATCCATTGCAGCGGCAATGCAACATCAACGTTTTCCAAATTTTGAAAACTAGTAAAAGTCACTTCTCTTTTTTTGTTTTGGAAAAAGATTTGGTAAACGCAATTTTCTGTTTTCATTTCTCCAGTTTTCCAGAAGTTTTTTTGGTAAACACGTTTTCTCTTTTCCTTTTTCCAGTTTTCTGAAAAGGTGGAAAATATCTCTGTTAGTAAACAGACCCTGTGTTTTTGTTTTTATTTATTTAACATAGAGGATTGATGCAGTCTTCTGGAAAGTGACTATCCAAGTGCTGCAGGCAATCAATGCTCAACCACCGTCTCTTAACTGTGGAATATGTAAAACTGTAAAAGTGTTTTTTGTTTATTATTTACTTTGAAAATACGAAACTAGAGCAAAATAGAGGGTTATAGAGCTTGTATGCCCTTGCATTGATGTAAGAGATCCAATAAAGACTTGAAAATCACTCAATAACATCGGTAACACTAAAAATAAAAAATAGGAACAATAATATCAATTGCTATCTAACAGTAGGTAAAAACTTCTGGAGCAATATCCTTATTATCCTACCAAATTCCCCCAAAACCACTCTAACAGCGACAAAATCTGGCTAGTCCAATATTGGCTTACAAATCTAGGACCCACTGTTCAGTAAGTTTTATTGAAAAATATGTTTAACACTCTGTCTCTAGCCGTGGAAATTCTGGAGAAACTTCTAAGGAAGCTTGAATGCCATTTAGTGTTCCCTGTGCATGCTAGTTAAACTTCATACTAATATATCGATCATAGCTTCTTAAAATGATTTAAGAACTAATAATTTAATACTATTAATAAAACAAATAAGACAAATAAAACAAAATATAAGTTAGCATGATATTTATTTTCAAAACCTTTTGCGATACAAGATTCTTGACTCATTAAAAATGATTGGCAATTACAATTGAAATCATTAATAGTCTTCCATCGTATCACGAGTGAAATACTCGAGCATAACAGTAACAACCATAAAACTCAAACAACAAATGCTTGAAAATGGAGTAGCAATGACCAGAGTAGTATTTGAGAACATTACCTTGTTCTGAATAACATCTTTCAATATAGTGGTGATTCTGGCCAAAGTTTCAATCTTTTTCTCCATTTCACTAACATGTGTCAGATGGGCGACGTTTTTGTCCTCCTAAAATGGGGTGGGGGGTTTCTAACATCAGTGACAAATACCCATACATGAGATTTTTTGCATTGAAGTTGACAAATTTTGTTTGACTCAAGTCACAGGCTCACAGCAACCTTGCAATGAGTATTTAATACAATCGAGAAGAATATGATAAACAGCATTATAACTTACAACATCAAATTTCAAGATTCCCACCAATCAACTAACTACTCATGGAATTGAGAATTAAGCAACTGATTCAAATATTGGAGGGGAGATTGTCTGACTATGTAAGAAACCTAACTTTTTTATAACGATCTACATGGGTGTAGTGACTAGCTGGGTGTAAGAACACTGAACCTAAAGTTGAAGAACCTTTGCAATAGAATCAGAAAGCATTAATGAAGAAAATAGCGGAGTTTCTTTACAGAAAAAGACTTGAATCAGATATGTCAGTATGTTACTTAAAGTATTATCGTGTGGTGAGGGACCAAATGCTAGTCTATAAAATATTGAGTAAACAAATTAAAACCCTCAACTTCATGCAAATGTGATATGTTACTTATATAAATTTAGTAGCCAGTTAAAACTAGATAAAACATAAAAGAGGCATTCTTAACCAAAAACCATCATTTATGGTAAAGAAATCTCACTAATTTATTATATAACACCTTCCATGATAAATGAGGATGCAACAAATAAAATCGTCATTGCATGAAGGTAAACTCAAAATTAGAACTAAAGGCGCACTCCATATGGATGTAACACTATAGTAACAATACACATTATCAGATTTTAATGATGAAGCCGAGGGGGGCAGGGTCAATTGGTTAAATCCAAAATGTCATGCATGGGCACGATTCAAATAGCAAAAAGGTTAGTTTGTAAATGGAACCATATGTAATCATGTTCGTTTAAGCAACTATTAAAACTGAAGGCACCTATGCAATTCCTCTGTATTTTGATGTTTTGCTCCTATCAAAGTACACTCTGTGGGTAGGAGTAAATTCATCTTTTGGTACCTTAAAAAACTGGAAAAAGTGACTTCTATTTTAGGGCCCATTTGGTAACACCAAAATTGGCTAAATTTGCTAAAATTTGAGAAATTATGGCTGAAGTGGCAGAATTGACTGAATTTGTTGAACTATGAAATATTTATATTTAAATATTTTTAACTAATAAAACTAAGGAAAATTTACATGAAAAATAGCTAAATGGTGTTCTACAATAATTTCAGCCAAATAAGCCACAAAAGTAACTCCAACTTTACTTATTTTGGTTATACTCAATTCAATGCTCGAAATAAAAAACTACACGTTTGGTAAAAAAGTTGGTTGATAATGCTAATAAGCTGAAATTATGGGTTACCAAACGGTTTGGTTGCTCTCATTTGTATTCTTTTTACTCTAAACGGCGATTGCTTTTAGCTCGGAATTCCCTCAAATATGCAAAGCTCATTCACTATTCATATAAGGTTGGGTAGGCCATTATAAGGCTCAGTGAGTAACTGAGTACATAACTAGATATTTCAATTCTACATTCTCACGAGACTCAAGTCATGCATCATATTCATTCTTTATGTAAAGGGTGAGGGTCTCCAGCTTTTTAGACTAAAATGAAGTTATAATTTTGTCAAATTCAAAGACTAGAGGTGAAATACAAGTACACAACGAAGTCAAGAGCTCAAATGGAAATATCATGGTAGTTGAGAGGTCAAAAGGAGAGTTTGCTCGTATGAATAGTGCTACCTTCGTCCCAAAAAACTTTGTCATTTCAAAAAAATTGAACCATGATTTTGATTGGTACGATATTATGGAAGTTATAAATTTTATAATTTATGAAAGTACTTTAAACAAAGAACATTTTCATATAATTTTTATATTATAAATAGTTTTCAATGGAGCCAAAGATTTAAGATTCATTATTTTTTCCATCATTTGCAATGGAGCCAAAGATTCATTATTTTTTGGCTTGAGAATATGATGGAATAAAGCAAAATGGCTCACTAAATTGTCGGTGCTTCTTTGTTATGTAGCAGCAGTCAGTCCATGCAATTTTGGACGCTATTTTCACCATGGGTCATCCGGAAACAATCTCTCTGTGCTTTAGTACAGGGGTAAGACTGCGTACATCCGACCCACTTACCCCACCGTAGGTGGGAGCCTTTGCGGCACTGGGGTAAATGAAAATGAAAATGAAATAGTTTTCAATTAAAAGGTATAGTTGATCAAAGTTTTGAAAATGACAAAGTTTTTTGGGAAGTATTTTGCAAGCCATGGTCCAACACATACATGTGCAATAACATGTTAGATGATAGCAATATCAGGTGTATCACCTTCCTACCCTGAAGCTCAACTTGCAAGTCTGCTACTTTTCTTTGGATGTCGGTGAGCTCCTTCAAAACCCTTATCAAGTCATCACTCTTTTCACCAGAGCCACTGGACAAACTTTGTATCTCCTCCTAAACCACCCGAAATGAAAATCAGAGTCACAACCCATTTGAAACTCCCCTTCACATGCATTGAAGAAAAGTTCCATTCGACTAAACATAATCCAAAATGAACTTCGCAAATCAAGAGAACTAAAGCAAAAGCAGTTACAAAGCAAATTCAGTCCCATTTTAACGACATCTTCACATTCAGCCGGGATTGAGCTAAAGATGAAGCATTATAGCAACTCTAATCACAACATAATCGAACCTGTAACCCTTATTGATACATTTACTTTTCAAGTGCAAAAAAAATACCAGCATCAGATGGAGTTACCTGTGATGGAGGGGGAGAGATGGCGAAGCCAAGATCTGAGGCAATAGAAAGGGCATCCGACATCCCACCAAGGCGTCTCACTGCTTTCCGTCCAACCCATGTTGAGTCACTTCCCATCATCAAAATCTCTCCCTCCGGGTTTTGCACAAAAATGACGGCTAGGCAGATACACAGGTCAAATAAAATTGCCAAAATGTCCTTAATAAAATCCAATCGTAATTCTTCCCCGGTCCATGAATAGCTTCAACTGCAGTGCATCTTGCACTTGTTGCCTCTTGCAAGGTAGCTTTGCTGGAGCCAACCCTGATTGCTGTGAATCTGCCGGAAGGATGGCTTGCTGATTTCGAGCAGCCTGTGGGCCGAGTGTTTATAGCTGTGGAGTGGCAGATCCAACCCTTCTGTTCGAAGATGGCCTCGCAAGATGCTCGTCGCCCGCCCTGATACCTCACCGTGCGGAGACAATCCGGTGATGGACGCTCGCCGTCAATTGCTCCGAATCAAGGGCCCGTTTGGTATGATGTAAAGTAAACGGGAGGGAATTAAGGGCCCGAGCTGGACGCTCGCCCGAATTTATCCCCTCCCTCAATTGCGTGTAAAGTGAGGGAGGGGATATGAACATTTTACACCGTTTGTTTTGAATATTTGGTGTAAACTGTAGGGTACTTTTTTAAAAACATTTTACACTGTACCGTGTAAAATATTTTACGTGGGAAGAGGGTACTAAACTACTTTACACTCATTAATACCGAGAGAACTTCTTTTACAATTCAAGAAGTTTTTACGATTGTAATTAGCTGATGGCAGCAAAAGAAAATTTTGGCTGCTAAAAGCAGATTTCCCCTCCTATTTAAGAACACAAAATCGTGAAGCAAATCACCACTACCTATCTTGCTGATCTGTGTTGCCCTACTCGATCTGCTCCTTCGAATAATTGAAGAGCTAAGCCAGCTTCTGGTTTTCTTTTTTTTTTTTTAAATTTATCACCATGATTCCATGTTGGATCTGATCTCTACCTTGTTTTTCAATTTTTTTTAAACTACGTAATTCACCGCATGCTGCTTGAGAATATCAGTAGAAAGGTTTGTAGAACTTGCTATCTTAATACATTTGTGTGATTGAGAATGTAAGCATAAAAGCAGATTGTAAGCAACTAGCATCAACTAGCAGCAATCGGCTATGTATATGATCCGTTTGTTAATACGGATTATTTTATTATTTTCCAAACAAACATTTTAAAGAGTTTGCGTGTAATTTAATAATAGATTACATAGATAGCCAAACGGTGTATTTTTAATTTACACGTAAACTGATTAGAGTCATACACTTTACATGCAAAGTGATTGCATGTAAAGTTTTAATGAGTAAACAACCAAACGAGCCCTAAAGATCCCACGTTGCCAGTGCGTGTGTTTGTTGCAGGGGAGAGGAGCCGTATAGGAATAGAGACAATGACAAGGTTACAGGTGGCCAAAAATACCCAAACGGACCAGTATGGTTTGGGACCGATAAACTCGGTTTGAAAGGGATCACAAAAGTTGTTGTCCCAAACCGGACCGAACCGGTTCCAAACAATGTCATGATCGGTTCTCATAAAATGAGAACCGGTACCGGACCGAAGTATGTTTTATTAAATTTGTATTACTATAGTTTGTCTAAAATATATTAATTATCTCATCCGTCCCAAATTAATTTGCAAAACCAACATTTTTTTGTCAAAGTTAATGTTAAGTTCTTGATAATTAATACAATTTTTAATAATTAAAATTTACATATTTAGAAACCACATTAAAATCTTTCTAAAGTTGCAAAATCCAAATTAAAATATACGAAGTACGGAGTAGTTTTTTTGAAAGACCAAATTAGAATATACCGAAGTAATTAAAAAGTGAAATTCTAATTAAGTGAATAAAAAGAAATTGTTTGACCAAAAAAGATTGACTTTGCATATCAATTTGGAACGAATGTAGTATGATATATGAAAATTGATAAATTGTGTGGATTTTTTGGAGGATGTCTAAACTTTAATTTTTTCTTAAATACCTGGAAAAAGTGGCATTGTTTGGTATTGGTATGGCATGGTACCGTCCCGTTTGAAAATGGACCGTACCGAACGGGTTTGGGTCTAAGACCAAACCGTACCGAACCGTTTCAATAGTAATGGTACGGGTACGGGTTCGGCCAAATATTGGACCGGACCGGACCGGACCGTGCCCACCCCTAGTTACTTTTGACTTCCACGAGCCGTATAGGAATAGGGATAAAATTTGTCGGCCAAAGTTTGAAGTATTTGGAGAAGAGTTCTGCTTGGGGTACCCCAATTTGTACCCCAATCTGTACATCGTCTGTGTACACATACATTTGAACAGAAAATCATGTCCTCCTTCATTCAAACGAATTGCATGTGTACACAGACAATTCAGGGGGGTGGGTACAAAATGGGGTACATTTTGGGTACCTATAGAATTTTTGTTTAGAGAAATACCTAGAAGCATAGAAGCATCAACTTCCCCTTCCAGCTTTTGGCTACACTGATTAAGACTTTGAAAACACTCTTTTTTATTTTTTTAAGTTAAAAGTTAAAAATCACTTTTTTATTTTGGAAAACACTCTCTTAGTTTACTACTTCATCCGTTCCTCTAAGATTGTCTCATTTTATATTTTTGAGAAGTCCCACTAATATTGTCACATACCAAATTTGGTAAGGATTGTGTGGCTCTAAATCATTCTTACTTTATTCTAACTTTATCAATTTAATATTCACCACACAAACTCGTTTTTCTTAATAATCGTGGGACCTTCTTTCGTCCCAATATTAGTAAGACGGAAGTAGTAATAATTAGTACTCCGTCTGTCTCCCTATAATTGTCTCATTTTTCCATTTGTGGACGTCTCCTATTATTGTCTCATATCATATTTTGTACGTAGTAACATTTATGTAACTCTAATTCATTCTTACTTTATTCAGTCTATGCAATTTTCGACGAGTTTTTCACCATGGATCATTTGGAAACGGTCTTTCTGTGCTTTAGTACAGGGGTAAGCATGTGTACATTCGACCCCACCTTACCCCACTGTAGGTGGGAGTCTTTGCGGCACTGGGGTAATGATGATGATTAAAAAATGAGAACATGTAACCCTTTAAGATACATTTATTTTTCAAGCGCAAAAAAAATATCAGTATCAGATGAAGTTACCTGTGACCGAGGGGGAGAGATGGCGAAACCAAGATTAGAGGCAATAGAAAGGGCATCCGACGTCCCACCAAGGCGTCTCACTATTTTCTGTCCAACCTATGTTGACTCACTTCCTGTCATCAAAATATCTCCCTCCTAGTTTTGCACAAAAATCACGGCCAGGCGGGATACACAAGGTCAAATAAAATTGAAGAACAGCTTTTAAGTTTTGGAAAACACTCCCTTAGTTTATTACTAATTAGTATAATATTGATCATGATTTTCTATTAATATATAATCAAATTTTATTTGTAAAATATTATTATTCTAATTAATACAAATTCTTAGCATATTAAATTTTTATATTGTTTACTAATATGTAAGTAAATACAATTATAGTCAAAGTTATATGTTGACAAACGTGAAAGTCAAACTAGTGCAATTAACATATGTAATATAAATTTAGCGCATTAGTTCCTCTGATTTAAAAAATTTATCAAACTTTCATGTGTACTAATTATTCATGAGTGAAACTCCCTCTATGAATTTAATTAATGTCAAATAAATGGAAAATGATTAGTTTTTTTTTTGCCTAATTTGTAGATATTGAGAAAGTACTTGCACATTCAATTATAATGTGATTTTTTTATTGTTAAATGGGGAGTTGTCGCATTTTTTAAATCACATGGGCTAATGTAACAATTTATATATCACAATGAAGTTTGGTGCATTAAACCCTTTGTCTTACTTCGTTTTTAATCCTTTGTAGTTCTTAAAAAAAGTTGTATTTCTTGCCCAAAAACATTGGTGGGACTCCGAGTAAATTATAAATGTTTTAAATCATTGAGGTTAGTCACTCCCAAGATCAATAAATGTGTCACCTTTGTGGCAGTTCAATTCATGCGAGCTTTGTCAACGCATGTATTGCTTGTGATAGAAGTCAATATAACAATCGAATAACTATGAAGACTCGATTACTGTGTCGAGCAATAACAGTGACATGAATGCACTCATGCTCTTATTTCATTTTGTCTGTGATTCTCAACTCTTTTCATTAATATACCACAAATGTTTCATACAGTTAAAATGAGAGCTTTTAGTGTTTTGGCCTCGTACTACAATGAAGAAGTGATGTACATTAACACCAATGTGACATTTCTACTTTACGACTTGCAAACCATCTATGTCAAGGAGTTAGATAATGTGGCAAGAAGAGATGCTTTATGAAAGAAAAGAAGTGTAGTCGGATGAACACATGCTTAATGATCATAGGCTTTGGGCATCATTCAGGGGTCAATCATTTCTCCAAATTGTTAAAAGGATTATGTATTATTACAGAGCTCTTAAGATGTCCGCCTTTTTGAATTCATCTTATTAAAGTGGACATTAGGGAACTACATGAATAATATGAATAGTGCTACCTTTTGTCCCCAAAAACTTGGCCATTTCAAAATATTTGAACCAATATTTTGATTAGTATGGTATTATGGAAGTTATAAATTTTATACTTTTATGAAAGTACTTTAAACAAAGAACATTTTCATATAATTTTTATATTATAAATAGTTTCCAATTAAAAGATATAGTTGGTCAAAGTTTTGAAAATGACAAAGTTTTTTGGGAAGTATTTTTGCAAGTCATGGTCCAACATATACACGTGCAATAACATGATAGATGATAGCAATGTGAGGTATACTATATCACCTTGCTACCCTGAAGCTCCACTTGCAAGTCTGCAATTTTTCTTTGGACGTTATTGAGCTCCTTTAAAATCCTTATAAAGTCATCGCTCTTTTCACCAGAGCCACTGGACAAACTCTTGATCTCCTCCTAAACCACCCGAAATGAAAATCAAAATCACAACCCATTTGAGAGCTCCCCTTCACATGGATTGAAGAAAAGTGTCATTGGACTAAACATAATCCAAAGAGAACTTCATAAATCAAGATAATTAAATCTGAAACAGTTACTAAGCAAATTTAGTCCCATTTTACGATATCTTCATAATCAGCCGAGATTGAGCTAAAGATGGAGCATTTTAGCAACTCCAATCACAACATTAATCGAACTTGTAACCCCTTAAAGATACATTTATTTTTCAAGCGCAAAAAATACCACTCTCAGATAGAGTTACCTGTGATGGAGGGGGAGAGACGGCGAAGCCAAGATCAAAGGTGCAAAAGGCATGTCATACCTATTTGTGAGGTAGGTCGTGTCAAAGGTGATGACATCTCCAAAATCTTTATATGCATATCGACATCGATTGTCGGTCCAAAACACATTACGCAATTGGGACTTGTCATCTAAGTCAAGGACAATGAAAAGTTCGGGGCATTGAGCTTGCATTGTAGCAAAAAACTCTTGAATTGCCATGGCATCACCACTCACTAACCTAATTTGTCTTACCTTTTGAATGTAGTTCCTACGATCTTTTTCAATAAAAGGAAGTTGATCATATCCACCGGCTTCAACAACAGTTGCATTAAAGGTTTTATGAAGTCGTATTCCGGCCACATCGTTGATTGCAATTTGCCTCATTACTTGGGGAGTCAAGGTCCTATGGCACATTGGCATCGGAATAGGTGAGCCTTCGTTCGGCTCATGGGATGAGTATGCTCAAGACAAATTTTTGAAATTTTCCAACGTCCCGCATAATTTGTGTGTGCTCGTATTCTTGCTCCGCACCCCATTTGCATTGAAGGTTTTTTGACCTACTAGATCTATTACCAGCACGAGAGCACTCTAGTAACACTCCAACTATATCTACTCCATTTTTGTGTTTGGTGGTACTCCTAGTTCTTATGTGAATCCTAAACGCTTCACATATGTCTTGTAAAAATCATACACCTTTCTTTCCTATCAAATTTCATACCAATATCCAGAGCTTTTATAGAACCAACGTCACTCTCATTTTGCTAAATTTCTCCAACCAACATTCATGTATTTCAACGGATAAAGAATGTGTATATGTTAACATGCACAGACTTAAGTATATTTACGCACAGAGGCAGTGGTATATTTAC